CCCCCCCCCCCCCACCCACCCAACCCAGCTGGCCAACATGCACGTACTACACTGCCATTGTCAAGATGGAAGGGAAATCAAATTACTTTGGCCAAAAGTTGCTCTCAAATTATTTCTGCTCTTTTGGCTTCATCTGTCTTACATGATGGTCATTGGTTTGGAGTCTTGTGTGTTATGTTATATATTGGATCTGTAGCTGTGGTCCTCAGCCCCCCTCTGTGCAAGCAGGGACTCGAACCGGCGACCTCGGCCTCAAGAAGAGCCAAGTATCGTAACCACTACAGCCAGGACACAGTGTTCAAAAGCGGAACCATACCGGCCATGATATCCGCCCCACCCCTGCAAGGCTGTAGTGTCCAAACTCAACACACACCATGCGTAACACCACACGGATGCTGGCAATCCCTTGGACAGTGGGGCGTTAGCAGCCCTCCTCTTTTCTGAGCTGGTTTAATTTTTGGGGTAACCAGGGCGCGGTCACGATTTCAGTGTTAAATCCACTTTAGGCATCCGGCGAATGCAACACATCCCCGCCGGACCCGAAAGCTAGGTTGTATACATTCGAGTCATGGTTCGGCGGCGGTTTGCCCTCGCTTTGGCGCAACATTCGCGAAATCGGGACTGAAGCGCATTTTCAAACTGAAACCGTGACTGTGCCCTAAGCCCCTAATTTTTTTTCCCCAAAAGTCCCGGATTGAAGCTGCGGCTCAGTATTGGCGTTTTGTCGCTTTATCATTTGAAGTTACAAAAAAGGAAAAGTCAGTTGCTTTTGTCATCCTGTACTCTCTCGAGTCTCTACCCACCGTTCGTTCGTATATTACTGTCTTCACCGGAGTAGAATGTACAGTGTACATCGATTATCGCTGTTTCTAGACTGGAGTTGCCCCAAATACAGCTTCAATGCCCGTACGTGCTATTCGGGTGAAGATGGTAGTTAGTTACCTTCGCTATAGTAAAAAAGTTGAAAAAAGTTGTATAGTTGAAGTTTGTCCTGGTACGGAGATATCCTCTCCCCCCCCACTTCTCCTCTCCCCTCTTTCTTAAACAACCCACACCCCTTCTATCCTGGGGGGGGCAACAGTCAAAGCCTGTTTTTACTTCCAAGAGATGAGGGGGCGAAAAGACGAGAAAGATGATCAGGCCATCCCTTGTGGCACTAGCCGCCTGGCATGGGGGGGACCGTCCGTTGAAGAAGGTAAGCCTCCTGATTAAACCACCAGTACACCCGGGCCTGGCAGCTTCCACTGCGCACCAAGCTTTTTTCCGAACGGCCAGCGGTGCACTTCTTTTCTTTTGTGGCTGGCGCCGCCAGCCATTGTGGTCCGGTTTCCCCGAGCCTCCAAAACTTCCGTACGTGCTGAAAGATTTCTCCTCAAGGCGGGGGGCATGTACTGGCGGTTTAAGAGTTCAGTTCGATTCAGCAGGGAAAGCACGGTTGACTCGGGTTGAGGGGAAAAAAAAAAAAAAAAAAAAAAAAAGAGAGAACACACACTTTGATGGTGATGAAATCTTCTTGCATGCGGTGTGATTGAGATCTCGGCGGTGTGCTTGTTGTGGCTGGCAGATCAACAATTACCCTGCTTGGACTTGCGGGTGCAGAAGCCGCGGCGGCGGAACAACAAGCATAGCTGCCCTCCTGACTGTGTAGGCTTGGAAGAGAAGGGGGCTAGACGGGGCAGGGTAGGGTAGGGTAGGGGTACTCATCGTGCTAACTGGACTCAAGAACGGGTGCTCATTTCCTCGGTGCCTATGAGAGGGGGATGCCTTAAGGGGCTCATTTTGGCATCGGGAATGTTCTGTCGATTTGACGGAGGCTTGAAAATTTGGAAATGCATGCTGCTCTCCTCGCGGTCGCGTGCTTGCACGGGGATAAAGAGCGAAGGAGGGCTTGGAAGGTCAGCCCCTGTAGCACCCGATGAGCTGAACCAAAAGACTGACACACACATACTACTGACAGGGAAACAAATGTACAGAGACAGGTCCGGCCGCCTCCGATTGGGTTTGGAATCTATGGATGGATGGATTTTGTGTTTGAAAAGGGCAAAACGGTGTTTGGGTGTTCTTGCACAATAAGAGCGGGTAGGTTAAAAACCATGGTTAGGATTTGGGCAATGGCTGCGGTTAGGCCAGTCATGAGTAGAGTTCCTTGTCAAGGCTTCATTATGCAGCAAGCTGAGCCTCGACACATTGTAACATGCATGTGCTTTATCGTGACCTGATCGATTAGGGTTTATCGAGTTTAGGGTTTGATCTCAGGTCGGATCAAGTGAGTTTGGGAGGAAGAGGAGTTGGTTATTTAAATAAATAAATGATATGATGGCAGGAAAAAATGGTGGGAGAACAGAAAGGCAGAGCGGCGAACAGGAGGGGAGAGGCGAGGGTGAAGGGGGGAGAGGGAGGGAGTTGTACGGTGGCACTCACTGGTAGTATCATCAGATTCATCACCTGGCAGTGGCCGCGTCGTGGTTCCGAGGTGTGCGGCAATCAATCTGGTGAAGTCGGGGGAAAACAATTCTGTGAGTAGAAGTCTGCAAGAATGGATGGGAACATTCTGAATTCGTCGAGAAGGACAAGAGGACATCGATCAGTGACTTTGATTTTTGTGAGATTGACCAAGGATAGAAAGCTGCAAGTGAGCAGTGTTGTCAAGGTTGTAGGAAAAGTAGGAGAAAAGAAAACGATGACGATGATGTTGTAGCACAACATGCGTACGTCACTTTTTCCATGCACTTATTAAGGTGTCACAAGCTCTCTCCTTTACCCCTCTCCTCCACCATTCCCGCCTGTTTTCCCACTCCCCCCTTATATCCTCTAGTTCAGAAGTTGGCAAGCCCAAGGGCTCTCTCTCTCTCTCTCTCTCTCTCTCTCTCTCTCTCT